GAACTATTCAATGTACAGTAGGAGGAAATATGGGGATGCTCGAAAAAGTAGGATGCTCGTAACTATTGGTTAATTTCAATTGAAAAAAAATAAAATTACTATTAATTTTAATATAAATTATTAATTAAAAAATTAATAAAATGAAAAACCGAAATAAATTTATATTAATTATTAATTATTAATAATATTAAATTAATTAATATTTAGATTAGCATCCCCCTTTTTCTCAGTATCCCACTTTTTCCGTTAACTGTATAAATGAAAACAAAAAATGACTTATTTTTAAAGATTTGCTTCAATAATTTTTTCAGGAATGTTTTCAAAATCAAATTCAAATTTTCTAAGACCCCAATTGACTTCAATTTCACCCATCCCATCACAGACAATTGTTGGTCTGAATTTCTTTCTTTCGTATGACACGGCCAACAAGTAGTACCCATTCTTTGTAAAAAATATCATTTTCTTATCAGCTAAATACCCACATCCCATGACTTCTCCGTCATTAAATCTTCCCGCCATATCATCTCCTCTTCCTTTCATGTTAAATATCTTTCCATCATCCGAGTGCATTCCAACACCGCCTTCTATCCACCCAACATGATTTTTACAGCTTGGGAGGTTCAAATTTGTTTCTGAGACTCCCATTGACACAACCAAATTACTGAAAGTTTGTGGATTTGAAATGTCTCGTAAAGTGACTTCAAAGTAATAAATTGGTGTCATTTTAAATACGACTGAAGTCTTGGTGTGGTCCACAAATAGGTGCTCTTTGCTACTCCAAAATCCAGTTGTGTATATCGCCTCTTTGCCAATCGTTTTCTTTGTAAAAATGCTTTTTCGTTGCACATACGACATACCCGGCTCGACATAAAATTGAAGTTTTTTAAAAGATTTCTGAAGTTTCTTTAAAAGACGGGAATGTGGGTATGTTGTGTTGTTGATAATATCAGAAGTATTTGTATGGAATAAGTTGCTCAACGAATCAAGAGCTTTATCATCTACGTCTTTATTGTATGCTTTTTCTTTGTGATCAAAAGTGTGTTCACTTTGTTGTACAAGTGTAGATGGTGTATTCAAAAGGAGAATTTTTAGTTCAGCAACGTCTTTCTCAAGTGCAGAAATGCGAAGGTCTCGCATAGAAAGTTCATTGGAATAAAATGCCATACATTCCTGGACTTGGCGACTCAATTCAGATATCATTTCGTTCATTTCATTCATTGTAATCTGATTGGAATTTGTTTTTTTTTAATAATTTATTGTGAAGTTTGTATTCAAATTAATGTAATTTGGATGGAAATTGGAAGTTTTTAGACGGAAATATAATAACATTAAAAATTATTCAAACTTTCAATAAAATATTAAAAAAATATGGAAATTATTAGTTTTTATTATTTTTGTTAATATAATTAACTAATCAATAAGAATCTTTAGAATTGAATGCCAAAAAATTTGCAAATCATTTAGAGTTTAGATCAACTTTCCCGTTTTTTCTATTATTAATGTGTATAATAATAATAATAATAATTTTAAATTTTAAGTCTCTTTGGATTTTAATAAATAAAGTTTTTTTTTATACTTTTCTCCGAGACGAACTGCAATTATAATTGTATTTACAGTAGGGAAAATGAACTTTAGCCTAAAAAAGTACCTATATTTTTTTAAAACGCGGGTTTTTACAAAAAAAAACAAATATTTTAGAAAATTGACTTTTATATATGTATAGTTAATAAGTTTAATACAACAATAAAAATTAATTAGTTTTTCTTTGGGCTAAAATTAATTTGCTGGGCGAAAGTATAATGGACCAACTGGATTTTGTTTGTTCAAATAAAAAAACAAAATAATAATAACAATATTTTATTTCAAGAAAAAATATTGATTTATATTTTAAACAAATAAGTTTTTATATATAATTTAGTTTCTTTTTTCAAAAGTTAAAAAAGCCTACATATTAGTAATATCAGAAATTTCTTAAACGAATATAATATCATATTATTTATATCAAAATAGTTTAAAAATACACTTTAAAATATTATTTCTAAATTATTCATCACCTTTAAAACCAATTTTGCCGAATATGACTCAAGATTTTATAAAATGTGATTAATTAATACTGTTTCGAACTAAACTTTAATTCCAAATGCAAAACCCTTTAAGTCTTAAAGAGAACGAATCAAAAATAATAGAGAGAGCAACCTATAAGAAAATAAAAGGAATTTTATTCGACAGTTTTGGAAAGGACAATTTTGATATTCACACATCCACCCTCAACAAAAAGCTTTTGGGAGAGGACAACTTTTGTATTATATTTGAAGACAACAGTTCTTCCAAATTTGGAATTCATATCACACAAAAAGTTACAAAACAACGACAATGGATTACTGATGACAAAGCGATGATATTTAAAATCACAACAAATGGGTGTGAGGATCTTCATCGATACAAACTTGACAAGAAGTATAGCAATATGGCTTTTTATTTGCCAAGCAAAGATGATGAAGAGCTCTTGTTGTGTGGATATGATGATTTGACTATTTACAAAAATCGAAACAAACCTGTTGATTGTGACGGCTATTATTTTGGTATTGACAGATATTTATTTAACGGAAACATTTTTTATCTACATCGAATGATAGTGGTGAAATTACAATGAGTATTAATAAAATACATTTTGTGAAGTTTTTTTTATTAAATTGTGTATTAAATTAATTGTCAAAAACAGGAGTTATTCAATAACAACTTATAAATATTTATCGTTATGTATTTTTAAATGGAACAAATATTATTGTCTTTTCAAAATAAATTGCTATAAAATCAAAAATGTATTTAATTTAAATTATTATTTTAATTATACTCCTTTATTATAATATCAATACAGAAAGTGTTTGTATAATTATTAAATTTATGAAAAATGTATAAAACTGTTTTATAAAAAAATGAAAACATTTATAAATTTTCACACAATTAATTATTTGTCAACATATTATTAAATTTAGTTAATTAAATTATTTAATCACATCTTTAGCATTTTCATCTTCTTCGTCAATAAGGTTATTCTGATATAAATTATCACAAATATTAACATTGAATTGCGTTTCTTCATTTTCTTTGTGTGTATCATTTTCTATTGTTGTTTTATTTTTATCTTCAATAATATTGTTACTTAAAACGACCACTGAAGACACTACAAGTAATACAATTCCCGTGTTTAAACAAACAAGTCCTACAATAAACCCAATTAATGCGGCATTTCTGGTATCCAAAGTGTTTTGGTAACAATTTTTTCCATTTTTATCTCCAACAACTGAAATGCATGGTGGGCTTTTTCTTAACGTGTTCCACCCACAACATTTGAATGCACTTTCTATGTTTGGCAAACTTGTTACAGTATTATAGTCGGTAGAAAAATAGAGCGAAAAAAATGAATATCCAAATAAAATCACAACTCCAAGTGACACAAAAACAAAAAGAAACAAAAAGAAACAAAAATGTGTATGAGAACAGTCCAATGACATTTAAAGTGTTTTTGTGTTTTTGTATAATGACAACAATAAGTGACAAAACACCAATAAAAAATGAATAGGAAGATGTTGAGATAAGAACAGCAAAATATGTATCTTTAGATTGCAATGATAATATATTATCAAGAGAAATGTCTGAAAGTGTAATCATGTTTTTAGCTGGACCAAAGTATAAATAAGGAATGACAAGACTACTTAATATATATGTCACTTTATATTGTTTTGTTAACTTACATGAAAAAATACAACAAATGTATTTTATAAAACGTATAATATTTTACATTCGGATTAAATTTTTATTGGAAAACAGTTTAAATGTTTTATTTTGTGTTTGAAATTGTCAATTAATTCATCTCGAATAAAATAATAATAATTTGTATATAAAGAACAATATCACTTTAATAATGGTTTAAATTTTTATTTATTCTCAAATGAAACATTTGATAATTATTATCATATCTAGAAATATGAAACAAAATATGTTATTATATATAAAAATGTTATTGTCATGAATATGTAAATATGTTACTCTATGAAATAAACACATGTTTTTGATTTTAATTTACAGTATGTGAGAAAAGTATGTGAGAATGAGAAAACCCTGTGGATTCAACAAAAATTACATATTTGTTTTTCTTTTTTTAAATAAAAATGTTTTTCTTTAAAAAAAACAATCTAAATAATATAATTATGAGCTCCAGGAATGTTGCTTTTAGTGGCTTAGACCATACAACACTTGAAAAGAATCTAAAGTATTGTCCTGGCCCAGTGAAAGAAATAGCCCAAAGAACATTCAGCAAACATTGCAACTTTTGTGAATTGCCCCTGAATGTTCAGGTGTATTTGATGAATATTGAAAGAGAAATTTTCAATGGAATTAATACGGAAAAGGTGACCGAGAGTAAACTATGTAGAGTCTTTGCTTTAACTTCAAGTCAGTTTAATATCAACAAACGAAGAGGTATGGAGACGGCATTGTTTGGAAAAAAAGATAACGGAAGACCGTCACTTTTAACTGAAACACAATGGGGAATTGTCAAGAATTTGATTCTTGATAATGAAAAGTTTCCAGGAAAATGCAAAGCTATCAGCATAACTTATTTGAGGTTGTTTATAATAAAAACCTTCAACGTTGATGTGTCAAACCATGTTATTTATGATAAAATACATAAAAATTGGAACTTTTCGATTGTTACTGTGTTTGCTGAAGACCAATCTCGATTGACCTACGACGAAGATGCCGTGTTGAAGTATTACATTGCACTGCCACTTTTTTAAATGGCATCCCATCACCATTTATTTTGAATTTGGATGAGTCAGGGTATCAGCCATGGCCAGACAGGCAAATGGTGAAGGGAGTATTCACTGCTGGTTTTTCCACAGACAGTAAAATGAAATATGGAGTCGAACGTGACATTGCTCGATCCACTGTCGTTTGCACTATTACCCCCTCACAACCTCTTCCTTGTATGATTGTAACAAAATACAAAAGAGTTGCAGTTGAATTCTTGAAATTGGGTTGGATGGAAACGGGAAACATCGTCAGTTATAGCAAAAACGGTTTTATCAACAGTGACTTATTTATACAATACATCAACGACGTTGTAGTACCTTATATTGTCGACATGAGAATTAAGACTGGTTATATTGATAAGGCCGTTCTGATATTTGATCAGTGCACGTGCCACTCAATCGAAGATGTGAGGTTGTTGCTCAAGTCGAATGTCCAAGTCAACGAGAAAATCATCAACGTGAACTGTGAAATCGTATGTTTGGTGCCTCACACCTCACATTTAACACAACCATTAGATGTTGGGGTGTTTGCAGCCCAAAAAAGAAGACTGAATTCGTTGTATGCTAAGTTCAGAGATGTCATAAAAATTAAAGATAGAGTTGGCGAGGAAGAAACAACAACGACAGAAAGTGAAGAAGTTGAAGAAAAAGAAGAATCAAATGATGTGATTGGAAGCCAAGATCCCATTGAAGAACCAATAATACCTCAACAGTTTAAGGAAATGTTTCAGGAAGTGCTGGCAAATCCACAAGAAGCGATATCACCATTTAAAAAGAAGGCTGGTACGACTGTCAACGAAAGGATGGTGGATGACAACCAATCAGAAGATCGCAACGAAATACCAAATGAAACTAAAATTGTTGAATTCGGTGATGGAGAGGACTTAGAAAAAAAGTTTGCCAAATACCTCAACTCAATTCTGAAGTCTTATTTCCAAACAACCACTCCGGATGTGTGCACGCAGGCTTTTAGGCAAGTTGGTATTGATTTCAGAATTGTTGATAGTGGTATGAGGGTTGCGTATGTGGATATTGGAGTGTCACGCAGAGTAACAGCAGAAATACCGAAACTGTTAAGTATACCACAGTTATACTCAATTGAATGCGTCAAAACCAAAAGCTTGAAAATATCTGCAGTTCGAAAGCTTTCAATGTGTTTTGAGGGTTATTCGTGTCAGTCTGTTTGCAAGCCGTTAAAAAGAAAAGAACGGGATGTTGTATGTAAAGTTGTGAAGAAAAAGACGACCAAAAAAATCTCAAAAAGAACTAAAAATGGGGTTGAGAATTTAATCGATTGATTTTTATCTTTTTAATCAGTTGTATCGCCGAGTTTACATTACTGTTTCCTATCACAGGTCAGAATGGTCACTGTTTGAATCAACATATGTCTGAACTATCATAAGTCCTTCCAATAGAAAATATTCGTTTGTTAAACTTTCTTTCGTTATTGAGATATTAACTTGTAGAACTTGCTCGCAAAAACTCTTAAATTAAACGTTGCCTGCTTTGAATCGTCTAGCTGCTATGGCTGATTTGTCCAGTATTCCTGGGATTCTTTAGCGTGAGGTCTGAGTCAATTAGTTGGTAAGTGCTGGCTGGCTGTTCACACTCTGAAAGCTGCTTTGTAGGTTTTTAAACAAATTGAAAGAGAAAATGAACTGTAAATAAGTGATTTTTTTATTTGATCTTTTTGAATTTTTTGAAATAAAAAAATAATAATTTTATTACATAAAAGTTACACAATTGTAACTTTTGTTGAATCCACAGGGTTTTCTCATTCTCATATACTATTCTCACATACTGTAATAATCAAACACCATAAGCAAACAATAAGAAAAACACCCAAAACAATATAAAAAGTGTTCATTAATGCAGACATTAACAATTTTCAATTATCCGTTTTTGAGTTTTTTATTATTGTGTAACATTAATTGATATCATGTGTGTTAAATATTACAAATAATATATAATTTACATTTCAAATTTATTTATTACATTCAAAATTGATATAATAGTTATATTATTAATATTTTTTTTATAAATCAAAGGAAGTTTTGTTGTTTTTTTTTCACTACACAATTTCATAATAGTTTTTACAATAATAAAGGGATTCATGAGGATTGTTAATTTTTTTTTGAGGATAATACATATCTTAAACATAATTTCTTTCAATTTGGATTTTTTTGCCTAAGATCAAAAAGGTATATTTTGAAACACGTGATTTTATTCAAAAATGCTATTTATGGATTTTTTGAAAGATGATTCTTGGTGCTGATTTTTACAAATAAAATAATCTATTTCTATTTTTTGATTTACCACAAGACTAACTTTGGTTTAAATGAAAACATTTGACAGACATTTAAATTATCGAAAAAGTCGATTTTTTAATCAAAATCACAAAACAAATTAATCTACAATTTTTAATCTTTTTCACAAAAAATACAATTTATTATAAATCAATTCATGATATTTCAAACAATAAAAATTGATAGCAAATAACGTATTAATAACTTATACTTTATGCGATGACAATTTATGTATTTGCGCAAATTCAAAACGAGAGGTTTTGGATAACGATAAAACAACGATTGATAAATAAACAAATTTTTAAAATAAAATTATTTTTGTTTTAAACGGTTTTATTTATTTTTCAAAACATATATACACAAGAAATATATGTTTATATTATTTTTATATAATACGATATTAATTTCAATAAATGTATCTTTAATTCAATAATCAATTTTGTATATTATTTGGCGTTTTTGTTGTGTTTTGACTATTTTTGATATAATCAATTAACAAAACTCACTTTATAATAATTCTTTCATAATTTTATTTATAGAATTTTAAATCAATAGTGGCAGTGCTATAAATATCTCTGAGGATGGTAAGTCGTGTAACAAACAGACATTATCAACACGGACTTAAACATCTAAAAAGTGAAATGACGTGTTCCCATATTCAAAAATTGTAACTTACTCAATATACATTTCAGACAGACGTAAAAGTGATAACTTTCTATTTCTGTCATCCTCAGAAAATAATTGCCATCCTCAGAACTGTAAATTTGTTTAAAACACAAGTTAATATCAAAATGAAACAATCATATTAAAATATACACAATATGATTAACTTTGTTATTAGAATAAATTTGAATAATTGCATAAATTACAAAATTATTAATAAATTTGTTATTTTAAAAATGCATTATTATTAAATCAGTGTTTTCGACTTTTTCAATTTTCATTTTGATAAAAAAACAATTATCAATTTAAACGTAAATTTCAATTATTATGTTATAAAGACAGATTCGGAAATAATTTCAATAAGTATATAATCATAATATGAACAAGTTTAATTCACGCTTTATTATTTCCCGTCTTAAGTAAGCGAGATATAATTATTGTTTTTGTTTACTGATTATCGTGGCGATTTTTTGATTGTTTTTATTTTTTGGCATTTATGACAAATTATTACCATTATTTAAAATTCGAACTTTGACTCGAAATATTAAGTGTAAATTATAACTTGAGTTATGAAAGTGGGTCTTATGGGGAACTGAACCTTATTGATTTGTTTTTTGTATCCTCAGAAAAATATTTTTTAAAAAGGATAGCTATAATCCTAAGGATACACCTTATCCTCAAGAAACCCTAAAATAAAATCTAGTTCGATTAAAAATTTAAGCTTTTTGAGATATATAGTAAAATATAATATTTATTGCTATAACTTGAAAAACGTTTTGTATTTTTTTTTTCAAAAACAGAAATAAAAAAATAGTAAAAATACATGTTTAGGTTATTAACTAAAACCATACTTTTTGTTAATATTTTTAAATCCACTAAAATAGAAAAACTTTTCAAATACTAAAAACTGTTTTTGTTGTTATTATTGTGTCAATCCACAATCAATTGCAACCACTTAATGTTTATTTTTAAAATTGAACATGATGATTTGGTAAATAAAAAGAATGCATAATTACAAATTATCACACTTTTCATTTAGTAAATACAAAATACAACACAATTCAACAATCTAAAAATACGATAGAAGCATTATGATGCAATTGATTTTAATTAGTAAAAAATCGAATTTTTAAATATTGTCGAGTAAATTTAAAGAAATAAATATTTTTTGAATTGGCTTGTTATTGTTCATTGAAAAACCTGTTAATTAAATTAATTTCAATGTGAAGGAGTTAATATATATAACCAACAAAAATCAAATATAATTATAATTTTATTGTGTACAAGTTGAGATTTAATCCAAAACAGAGGCGTCTCTGTGTTTTGCTCTATATGCATACTATATTCAATAAAAATAAAAATATAATTTAATAACAAATAGTTGTTTATAATAAAATATAGTTAATTTTATCAACTTGCACTTTTTCTAACTTTACTACTAATAAATATACTAATAAATATACTAATAAATATAATAAAAATATAACTTTAATATAACAATCAAATGAGTCGACTTGATGGATATCATATGATGATAGTGTCACAGTACTTTAATGCAATACAAGACTTTATAGCACTTGAATGTGTAAACAAGAAGTTTATGAATAACATGGAAAAGTTTCATTTCAATTAAATACCACTCAACAAACAGACAATCAAATATTTTCCACATATAGAAACATTAAATATTTGGTCACCCACCGACCAATGTTTTGGGAACAACATTTATAAGTCCACCGACATAGACCCAATCGATAAGATCGACTTCTATCAAATTAATATTTGGTATGAGATGACATACTCTCGCACGTGTAGAGTGACGCACTCTAATTGTTCATTCAAGAGACTTTTATACACAAGACAAGACACCATTGTTTGTGGTACAAATATACCTGCAAACACTGTCATCATCTGTGACATCTGTTTTCTTGATTCTCACATCGAGTCTATTGTTATTCCCAATACAGTCACTTCTATTGGTAATCACTCCTTTGAAAATTGTTCCAAATTAACTTCTGTGAAGATTTTGTCTCCTCTTCAGTTCATTGGAATTTCGTGTTTTGCGCGCTGCAGTGGGTTGAAGTCGATAGAACTCCCCGACACAGTCACACACATGGGAGACGCCACGTTTTATAACTGCACCAGACTCTCTTCCATTCGACTTCCAAATGCACTTCCAACACTCTCAACAAATTGTTTTGGACTTTGCAAGTGTTTGGAAAGCGTCACATTCCCACAACAAGTCAATGCAATTGGTGAATTCTGTTTTGGTGAGTGTTTGTCGTTGACAAGTGTGGACATTCCTCATTGCACCAATTTTAATGAAGAAAAGGCGTTTCACAAATGCACAAATTTGACTTCTGTTGATATCAGAGGATGTCTGTCGCAATTCCAGTCGTCCTGTTTTAAACATTGCAATTCATTAAAAACAGTCAACTTTTCCTCTGCAATTTGTGACATTCAAAATTCTGCGTTTGAGTTGTGTGAATCGTTGCAAGAAATCACACTGCCAAGCAAAATTTCAAAACTCGAGTTCAAGTGTTTTTGCAATTGTTGTAACATGAGCAAAATTGATATTCCAAACAGTGTCTCCGTCATTGAAAGTCGGTGCTTTTGTAATTGCATCAATTTAAAGAATGTCGTCTTACCACAAAATATCACAAGACTGGGCTTGTCGTGTTTTAGTAAATGTATAAGTTTATCAAACATCATCGTTCCAACTCATTTAAAAATCATTGGAGATTACTGCTTTGAAAAGTGCACTTCCCTTGAAAAAGACGTACCAACAACAGTCACACACATCGGCATGAACTGTTTCATTGATTGCAAAAGTGTTCATATTATATTAATAATAAATTGTGTTCTCTTGTTTATTTATTATTTCATTTTATTAGTTAATTTTAATAAATTATAAATTATAATTTATAATAAATAAATAATTAATAAATAAAATAAAAAAACTTTATATTCCTCATTCACTATATCGTTTTTTACCATTATTTCAAAATATGTATAGTTTGGACGAACACAAACACAAATTCTGGCTGAAAAAAATTATGAAATTAACACTGGCAAACAACCAGTTGAATCCGGTTTGCAGTTATAATAATACCCGATTTTAATACATTATTATTAATTATAATACATTAATAATAAATAAATAATAATTGTAATTTTAATAAATACAAAATTTACAGAATATATAGATTCTTCTTGTTAAACAAACAATATAATAAAACAACTAACCTATAAAAATGAAATAGAAATGAACAGCGCCGCCTCTTGCAATCCACTCACAGTCCCAACTGCGCCACTCATTGAAAGTCAAACGGACAAACAAGTCCCTTTTCAACAACAGCAATACCCAATTCAGTTTTTCTTAATATCAAGGACCAGCTTATTCAGAATATCAACCACCGCAATATCAACAAACCTATAACCAAAGTACACCAATCTTTGCGCAACAAACAGTCGAAGACAACAACACACTCAACGTGAAATACAACAAAGTCTTCATCATCTTGTTTGCACTTGGATTTCTGGTTGTGGTCCCGTGGTTGGCTGGTTTTATCATATCACGAAAAACAACAAGTAAGACAGTCAGAGTCCTCGGGTGGGTGTCACTCCTTTTGTTTTGGGTAGTCGGTCTCATACTTTGCTTCATACCAGCAATGATTATTTAATACTTTTAATACTTTTGATTTTGTTGTTGTTTGTTATTTTTAACGTAAATAATATAAAAATGAAATTTTTGATGTTCTCAATTATCTAGAACACAATAAAAAAAATTTGATTGTAATAAACAGTGTTATTATATTTTAAATAGATTGTTGTTGTTTTAAATCAACTTTTGTGATAAAACATTAAACCAAAAAAACACAAATTTGAATAATTTAATTATTTTTTTAAATACTTTGATAAGATAAAAGAATATTAGTATGTTTTGAAACTTGAACTCCTGTGAATCCCAATTGTGAACAAACTGATATCTTGGTTCCTGCTTTGATTCCAACACTCGGAATGTTGAATCACTTAAAGAACCGGCCTATTTTATTTATTATGTTATTTCATATATACTTCAATACCATTCAATTACTATTATGGGGTTTATTATTATTGGTTATAAACTCTAATTAACTAATAGTATTAGTATTATGTACTTTTTAATTATATTTATACTATATTATATTATTAAAAATTGGAATTATTTACTATTTTCATAACTATTATAAATACTAATTTTTACAACCTAATTAAGTTTAGTTTAATTAAATAGTTACAATATAGTATATTTAACTTCTAAAAGTTATAGTAATAATTAACTCTTACTTTTATCAATTGAAGAGGTGATACAAACAAAGTGCTAACCAATTCAATTAACCATTTAGCCACACGATTATACAACGGGGAACGTTGATATAACAGGAACAGGACTTTTCTTTTCATTTGGGTTCTTATCTATCTTTGACGACATCAAGTTGTTTTCTAAGACCACATTTTGTTGTGTTTCATTACAAATATTTCCTTCATCTTTGAAAACAGAAATTGATGGAATTTGGATTTCTTTTTTGCTTGTGGTATTTGTGGTATTTCAACGATTTTTTCTATTTTTTCTTCGTTTTGTTCAATTGTGGGATGGTTGTCTTGTATCTTGTCTTTTTTATCTTCTTTAGTTTCCTTATTAGTTTCCTTATTATTTCCACTGTAATAGCTTTTATTTCCGATTTTAGTTTCTTCATAGTACTTTTCTTGGCGTCATTATTTTGTCTGACCGTGTTATAGTCGTCGATGTGTTTCTTTTCTGTGTCTTTGAAGCAATCGATGATAAATTGTTTGTTTTGTTTTTTTTTCTTCTGTCGACTTCTTAGTTCTTATAAATATATATATAACGTTTGAATTTTCCTTTACGTTAAAATTCAAACGTAAAGGAATTGTTTGGTATCTCTGGTATATAACTCCAGTCAGTGTGACACTTTCTGTCTTCTTCTTCACATCTGTCGCAGTTTCCAGTGAACTGTTCTTGTCATCACTTTCGACGTTTTCAAATTTGGTTTGGACTTTCTTTGTCTCCTCGTGGTCTTTCTTTTTAACACTCAAATCGTCGTCTTTCAGCTGTTTGTTGAAATTAACAATTTCCGCTTCAAATGAGTACCCACAAAGTCGTCCTTCTTATTCTTTGGCACCAATGGAGTCGGTTTCATTTTATTTCTAATTGGAATCGACGGCTTCTTCTGCTCTTTGGGGGTGTTTGGACTTGGACTTTTGGCGGGATAATTTGGGCGTTGGATTTCTTGTTGATACGGATGGGGTTGTTTTGGTTGTTGTTGTAGTTTCGGTGATGGCGATTTGGTGTATTGCGTCGGCGCACTTTGTTGGACCTGATTTTCAACCTTTTCAATTTCCGACGGCAATTTATTGACTTCGTCAATTTTCTCAGTTTTGGTAGGAAAGCGACTTTGAAGACCATCAATCGACTTTTTCATGTCGACATTTTGAATTAAAAGGTCAGAGAACTTTGACGCCATTTGATCCAAAAAAGTTTTCATCTCGTCCAGTTTTGAATCTAAAGTCACAATATTGTTTGTTAAACCACCAATTTGGGAACGAGTTGAAACTGATTCATTAAGAAGTTGATCCATCCAATTCTCAATACAGATCAGTCGACCACTCCGTGTGTTGGAATTAACTTGGGGAACAACGCATTCTTGTTCACAAACATCATCTTAAATTGAAAGTTTGGTATTTGATATTTATTAATAGTAGTTATAGTATTATAGTAGTTATAGTTATAATAGTAGTTATAATCTTATAGCCACTTCATTAAAGCTATTTATTGATATTGTTTAATTATCAAGTAAATATTATTTAAAATTTATTAATTAAATATTCTGATATTGTAATTTTAAGTTGGCTCTGTAATACAATTTAAAATTAGATGTGTGTATTAAATATTAATAGAGTTACACATAATGTATTAACTATATAATATTAAAAGTAAATAACACAATAATAAAAACCAAAAATAAATAATTTAGAATTATAAAATATATTTCGATACTACTAAATTTTTCTTTCTAATTTATTAAAAATATACATTAAAAATTTTATAAAACATAAAACAACAATTTTAATTAAGAGTTACAAAAAAATATAGAACCCAACGTAATACTTTCACTAAGAACGATATAAACGACTTTATAAAATGTTTAAATACAATTAAAAACTAAAACTACACAATTCAAACATTATCTTTTAATAATTGATAATGTCTGCAAAATCGCATAGTCCCAATGGGTATATTCAAACTTTTATTGAAATATCAAAAGGCAAGTCTGAGTGTTCACTTAGAGATGTGGTTAAGTATTTACAAACGAACAAATATGATGGCCCTATAAAATTTTATGTGACATTGCTCGACACAAATCACACAAACAAGATGACCCAAAATATGTTTATAAAATTAATGGAATTACTTGAAGCTCAAAATGATTTAGACCGACTCCCAACTTTAATATTTAAAGCAATTGACTCGGACAACTCTGGTTATATTGAACGAAATGAAATAGAGCCAGTGATGTCGAATGCACGCAAATTTGGTGCTCAAGATTTGTATGAATGTCTCAGAGAAGTTGGTCAGCGAATTACAGTGACTGACTTTTGCACTTTAGTTCGACCAATATATGAGTTTGCCCAAGATTCTATTACACACAAGGAAGTTGTGAATATAGCATCTAAGATGTTTGATAACAAGTCCCAAGGCAGAAAAGAAATTTCGATTGAGGAAGCACACTCCTTAGTGAAGATGCTTGGAGCCAAAAGTGATGTTGAACTCTACACCAGTTTTGCTGATGTTGATGGCAATAACAAAGTGGATAAAGTAGAGTTTGTACATTTAGCAACAGTGTTAAAAGAGTATTTGCAGGCTTTTAAACACCGAAGAAGTCAATTACAAGGAGTGGGGTTAAATGATCCAGAATCATTTTGTATAACTGCCAGATTCTACTTTAAAATGCTTGATAATGATGAGAATGGTGTGATTTCTCCTGAGGAATTATGTGTTGGTGCATCTAAATTTAAGAATATGGAAGAAGGAGATGTTTTGAAAAATGCTCAAAAGTATGTTGAAGAAAGTGGATGTATCAATTTTGAAGTGTTTAAAAAATGTTTGCAGAGTTTCTGACACTCGACCAGAAAGTCACTGAATTTAAACTTGAAGAAAACAACAGTTAACCAAATGAAATGTATGCTGAAATAATGAACGCATATTTTGAAAAAAAAGAAAAAAAAGGAAAAAGACTGTGTTGTTGTATGATAAATGGTATCGGATTCATATTCCTTTTAATTTTCAATTTTTTAAATTGTTTCGCATTTAAAGTTTAACATTATCAATAACTAACAAATTATACAACATAAATTCTAATTATAATAATTTATTTAAAAAATAACATAATATAATTGTTAAATACATTTTGAAGTCATCAGTAACTACTTTATTACATAACTATGATGTTTCAAAGTTCTAGCAAAATGTTATGTATTGTTGTTGTGTTAGTAATAAGTTCAAGCTCTCGTTACATTATTTTTGGTAATGTAAACAATGGGTTCTTTGCTTATAAAGAAGATGCGTGTTATGAAGGCAAAAGAGTGTATTATAAATACACTGTATCACCCGATTCTAAACGAGTAATAAAATACTTTGGAATTGATTGTCAAAATTTAATTCTTCCAGAACCGTTCAATTACTTTAATATTTCGGATATAATTCCTTCTTATTTTGTAGCCGTGAAACATTATACAAGACAAGATGATTGTACTTTATTTAACAATAACACTTTTGTTGAAACAAATTATTTTCCAAAAGGGTGCCTGACATTCAAAAATACTTATTTTAAATTTACTAAATTTGGAAAAGAATTGTTCAAAAAGTTTTATTCAAATGGTTACTGCCAGAATGATATTATTAACATTGAAATATTTGGTATTGACAAGTGTCTGATATCAACGAAAGAACTATGTGAAGATTGTCATTCTTTAAAATTTGTAATGTCACAATTAGATTAATTTATTGTTTATTTTTTATTTGTATAAATTAACCTTACGATTCTATTTTTTTCTTTTATAAAACATTTTTTTGGAAAAAAATGTTTTGTTGATGAAAACGCCAATACCGTCAGTGTTTTAATTAAAACAGTTCCAAAAATTAAAGAAAAAAGAAAACCTATAAATTATTGTTTGCGAGATTAATTTGTTTACATTTCAAAAAAGTTGCCACAAGGTAAGTTTTTTATATTTCATATCAAGTTCAAAAAAATAAATTTGTGTTTTATTTAAAACAGTAACAGTATCGCAAGGTTTAAAAAAATAAAAAGTATTCACTTACTATTAACAACATTTTTTACACTATGCAATATTATCAAATTAATTACACATTAATAATTATAAAAAATAACGAAGATTGATGTTAAAACAAATACAATAATAATCATTTTTGTTCGTTTAAATATATTTTGTAAATCATAATATTTGTATTAAAATTGATACAATTATATAAATAACAAATGTATATTTTTTCAATTAATCATTCATAAATATTATTTATATTTAACAATATACATATACAACAATTGATATCTCCATTCAATTTACATATTTTAAATATGAATTAAAATAATAAATAATAATCACTGTTTTTTAATAAAAAACTACACATAATAATTTATCACTAATTTTTACAATTTGAAATATCAATCAATTTGAATGTAATTAATATATTAAAAACATTCCAAATATAAGATAATTATTAACAGTAATAACAACAATTGTTAAAATAGACTTAATACAACACGATAAAAAACAAATTATTTCATTCATAATTATAACCAGTGATTACTTGCGACCAAATGTATAAAAATAATTATTAATTTGATATTAATTAAAAAATCAACAACAGTCATTACTTTTCAAATATAGTTTTATCGGGTAACTTACTTTGTAACCATCGGTGAACAAATCTCATTTCTTTTTCAAAGTGACTCATAGACATATCATCATTCACACAAAATACATACGGTCGAATCTCTTCTGTTTGTATCTTTCCAACGACGTTATCTTCATGGTCATCAGCAAACATTAAAAATTTGACATTATTTCGTTCTCGTACATCCTCTCCATATCCTTTCATCACTGCGAATATCCCTGCCATATATGACCAATTGGTTGTCTGCCAAGCTCTTGAACGTTTACTTCTAGTGTTCTCAAATTCATTCAAAAACGCGTATTCAAGTTCATACGACACACTTTTTCTGAAGAAGTGAGAAGCGTGAGACATAAAATGGTGTCTTGTATTAACATCCAAGCCAAAGTACTTATTTACAATTCTATTTGAGTGTGATATACAACTGTGTACAAGTGAAGTAGCTTCTAATACGTCTTCTGGTGATGATCTCTCCACATGGACTTGCATTTTATTATCTTTTATAAAGTAGTCTGGAGGTGTTGGTCTATTAAAGAAGACGTCATCATTTAAATAGATAAAACACTCTCCAAGATTCTTTATTTTGTGAAGACTTGTTTCTATGGCTTCACTATTAAATACAGGAAGGTACTTTTGTTCCAAAATTTGTGAGTGTGGAACAATTTCTAAAGTGATGTTATTCCTCTCAAGTTTAAAACTTGTCATGTTGATTGGCGTTTCCAAAAAACTGGGGACTTGGTCTGCAGTAACTATAAAGTAGTTTTTGACATACGGCAAATACTTATATACACTCCGCATTGAATATATTAAAGTATTGGTATTTCTATATCGATTCGGATCAACATCATTCACATATTCTTTTAACTTTTGAATCCATTTTAAATCAGTTCCATTCACCCAAGACCACACAACATCGATTCTGTTGTTACATATATCAGGAAGACTGTTTTTCATTTTCTTTAA